AGCCCTGACGGTCCTGTCCAGGGACCCCTCTTCCCTCTTGTCCCCAGCCTAAGGAAATTCAGGAGTGACTACCCTCAGCTGCGTAACGCTGCATTGCTCTACATGTGCCCAAGCCCAAGCTTGTGCCTGGCAGGCCCAGCTGGGGTTTGGCAGCACTGGAGAATCTCCCCTGGCTGACCACCGAATGCATCCAGTTAAGACAGTCTGGGCTTCATTTCTGGATGCCCAAGCAGGCAGGCCTGGCAAAGGAAATTGGTTTGGGTATGTTCTAAAGCTGTTCTAAAACAGCTTTTTCTTTTCTTTAGGCAAGAATCACAGTTAAAATGGTTTTGTTTTAAATCAAACCAATAAAACATCATAAGCTGTTACTTTCTACATAAACATACTATGTTTTAAATGTCATCTGATAAATGTCTAGTTGCAAGGGTTACAATAAGGCAGTGTAACTGTGAAACAAGATGGATATTTGCATTCATAAGGCATGAACCTGGTCTGTTAAAAACTTCAGGTATTCTCTTGGGCTTCTTAGCAGTAGTATATTCTACCTTAGGAGAAAACTGTTATCTGAGTCAGACTATGGTGTTCTGAATGTGAGTTCCCTGTTGCCTAGACAGAGGTTTTGAAGATCATATGGATTATTTGGCACTTTAACCTGGGAAATTTGCTTAATACGCATCCAAGCTAAATTAGTTTCCTGACTACTCTTGACTGCCAACATAAGAATATCTACTGTTCCATTTCTGCTCCATGTCCAAGCTTGATTTAGCAACGTGATCTAAAACAAACACATCTGGTAAACTTATTTCGTGAAGAGGCATACCAAGAGGGGGGGCTGAAGGAGTGGCACTTTCCATGTTGTTGTTTCTGCTGCTTCCATGCAGTAGTCCAGAGAATCTGCAGAACCAAGAGGATCCAATGACAAAATGAGTGAACAGGACTGGGTATGAGCATTCCTTCGTCTCAGCTGTCTGACTCAACCTTCCCTCCATCTGCTGCAGCAGTGGGTAGATGTCACCTCTTCCTGTGGCTGTCTGTTTTTATTTATACTGTAGATATATTTATCTTCAGTTAAAAATATATTTTAAAAAATGCAGCAGAATACTGAACCATCAGCCATCACTAAATTGTGCATAAAATGCATCAGATAGTATTTTGTTATTGATTGAAAGTCTCATGGTGCAAAACTCTGATTATTTCACAATATTAATTTGATAAATATCAGTTATAAGAGATTACCATTTCTTTGTTTTTAAGGAAAACTGATACAATTTAAAATACAAAGCTTATATAACGAGCCTTTCTAAAAACTGAGTTTAAGTGATTTTTTTTTTTTTTTTTTAATCTATCCCTATTTATTTTCTGTATCACAGCTGGGTACTGGAAACTAAGTAAAGTGAGAATATGGATTAAGATTCTCAAGCATAGATAGAAGTAGCATTGCATGCTTAAGGCATATGTAAAGGGTCTGATTTTTCAGCTGGTAAACACTCTGTTTCTGGAAAATGGACATCCAAGCTCAACAGTTTCTGAAAAACTCAGACTGAGTCCCTCTAGGCTGCTTGCCCATGCAGAGCACGGTTGTATGCTAAATGACTGTACAATTGTCTTCCGTAACTGTATAGGATACAGCATTAGAATTCATTATTATAGACGAACTGTTTTCCGGCTGAAAAACAAAGTATTGTGTATAAACCTTATCAGCTCACTAACAAGCCTGGGCCACATTTTAAATGGGAGATCACAGCTCTCTCCTTGTCTTTGCCATGTAATAAGGCTTGTCAAAATATAAAGCTCTTCTGCTTTAAATATGACACTATTCCCACTGTGAATTAGCCATTTTAGTACAAAATATTTAAACCAATAGATCTACCGTGCTCTTCTGCTGATATAATGGCATCCATGTTACAGCATTTACCAGCATAAATGGATCATAAAAAGAAAAATCACCTCCCTAATCATCACAGTTATTCCACTAAGTGTTTTTTCCTTTGGTCTAAATACAGAGAGCAGCTCTTTGTTCTGCTTAGCTGGGCAGTGCAGTAAGCCAGGAGGTATTGCTGAAAAAGACACTCTCTCCAGCCTTTGCTCCCAGCAAGATTCACCTTTGCCCTCCCTTGAACAAAGTGGTTTTGTTGCGATGTGCCATGACTCACTACGAAAGAGGAAATAAGTGAATGCTGTCCATTGCTGGCCAGCTAATTGTTTTATGAACTCGTCCCCTGTTGCTCTTCCTGCTAGGCCATGGCAAAATTGCTCTGACTCTAGTTTTAATAGGTTTGCTTCTTCTGCCAAGTTATTTGGCTTTCCAGGTCCTGTTTTGTATCATCATACATTGCTGTTCATATGGAGAGACACCTATTCTGGGAACCAAGGTTTGCCACTCACCTCTTCATCATCCCACAAGACTGGGTTGGGTTGCTGTTGCTTCTCCTTTGTTCTCTGCTGTAGTAGTTCTCGTATCCTATTGCATCTGCAACAGGGCAATAAAAATGAGATCTTGTAACCATCGTGGGCTACTGGAGCAAACTGCAACACACACCTGTAATGTGGCTGAAGCAGTTGAGGGGGACCTGGGGACTGGACAAAAGCCATTCAAGTGATTTTAAGCAGATATGGCCTTGGTAGAAAGGCACGCTTGACCTGAGACAAACACAGTCAAGGTCCTGAAGAACCGTTCTAGCTGTGGCTAGCCCTAATTAAGAAGGCAGTTTCCTCGATGACTGTTTCCTCTGTTGCCTTAAAGCTCAGGATTGAAGGGAGCAGAGTGTGTTCATTGTGAGTCCAGGACTGTGTTCTTGATACAATTGGCTGCGGTGTGTTTTGGTTTGGGTTTTTTTTTTTTTTTTTTTTATGTATTGAGACAGGAGTTTTTGTCAGAGCTGGGGCGATTTCTGAACATTATTATCTGCAGCTATAGTGAGCAATTTCCTGGTCTGTGCTTGTATGTCTCCCTACCTTTCATATCTCCCCCATCTACCTCCTGAGACCTGATTTTCTGTTTACCCAGAGATATTTGGGTTTTGTTCTCTCAAACACAGTTATGCTACAGTTCCTTCACTCTCCCCTATGGTGTCATTAGGGATGAAATTGAGACCATTTCCAAGTCTAGCTTTACAGATGAAATAGTTACAGATGGATTTATTCATTTTTCATCTCACAGCTCCCAGTGTAGTTGCTTAGAGCCAGTGGTAAAATCTGCCTTCTTTGTGTTAAAGCCAGAAAAACATGAGTGAGTGAAGTCTGTGGTACCATATTATCTCAGTTCTGATACCAGCAAATTAAGAAAGACTTTGGACTTGGGCTAAAGGTTGTGTTGACATTCTCACATTGGGTCAGCCAAGGTCATAAGCAGAGCAGGCACATACAACTAATGAGTGTGAAGAATCCTTACAAATAAGATTTTCGGTAATTAGGGACTTTTCTGACCAATTTAAGGGTCTCCTATTACCTTTCTAGATTGTGACCTTGGTATAGTTTCTAGTCTATAATGCATTGTAAGATTAGTTAGAAGAAGGGAGTGAGGAATAGCATCAAGAAACCAAAAGGTTTGGTCAGGATTAAAGTCTCCTGCTACACAATGCAAAACCACACATGGGTTTCCTCCTGCATTTTGCAAATAATAAAGCTCACCATGTGCTATTGTGCAAACTCATTAGCCAGAGCTGTGGAGATACAAGGATGTTACTTGCAGAACATATCGCCTTCTAGAAGGTGGCAAAAAAAGCCAACAAAAAAGCAAGTCAGTTGTTTCTTTGCTTTTCATAGAGCTCTCAAGGGTTTTTCCCACCTATTTCGTATTAGAAATGAGTCCTGACATAGCCAAGAGCTGTTTGCAGAAAATTACCTAGGTGACCGGAGAATGAGAAATCTCACATAGGCAAAAAAACCCAAACCCAGCAACAACAAAAAAACCCCAACCCTAGGTGATAATTACAAATGTCTTGGTATACAGAGGTTGCTTCACACTGTTGCAAGGCACAGCTCTCCCCTCTGCCAATGAAAATGTTGGTTTTTCCTTAGTAAATGCTCCTATATCAGTGAATTGAAATCCCCCATGTGAAGAAGAATAAACTATAGCAGCAAAATGGCATTCAGTGCACCAGTATCGATATATTCGTTTATAAAAATTCCCCAAATCCCAATTCTTAATCATCATAGGTGTAATGACCAAAAGGCTGAGTGAAAAACATCCCTCAGATAGCTCAGTGCTGTGTTAGTGGCAGCATCCAGCTCTGCTGAAGAAGTTCCTAGGGTGTAATCGCTGTCAGCTCTGAGCTCTGTGATGAAATCAAAGGGGGGGTGTAAGCTGTTCCTGTACAAGATAATTATCCCTTGGGACAGGATGTTCCTCCTGCTGATATTTTGTACCTACACGACTCCGAGCATGGAAGGTTTTTATCAGTATAAAATTTTCTTATTCCAGTATAGCTTATTCCCCACTCTGAATAGAAGCTCTGTTGATACTGCTGAAGGTGTACCAAGGGGATTTCCTCTTTGACATAATGGTATGGCATTAGAGCAGAGAGTGGAAGTGAAACAGTATCTGTGCACAGATTAAAAAAATAAACGAATGGAGGAAGAGATCTTTTCAGCACAGATATGTATCATCAGGTAATGAAGAGATGAAATAGGGATTTTTCTCTCCTTTTACAAAAGCTGTGAATCTTTTACTGCAACAGCTGCACAGAGGTGCAAGCATTCACTCTGTCTATAAATATCTTTTATTGCTTGTTGAAGTAAGAGGGTATGGTTTGTATTTGGCTGTGTGAAACATCAGATAGCCTCCTTTCTGGTGCTGTGTTTGGAGAACTCCTACCCTGGAGCAGCATGTTTTCATTTTACAACTGCTCGTAGCATTTGCTGTCCCAGTCTCCATTTCAGCTCAGAGGTTTTGATCATTGAAGTCGATGAAAAGGCTGCTTTGGCTTGAATGGACAGAGTCTGCAAACCTTACATCGCTTCTGCGTGCTGGAGCAAAGCCAATTTCATTCAAAATTTCCCCCAGCTAGGGTCTTGCCCTTATACAAACAACTTCCTGAGAGGAAAAAAGACATTATTCCCCATTGGGCAGGTAGAACAAAACAGAATACAAAGTCTGGTCGTCTCTGTGCTGCAAATGAAGAGGCAGCATCTCTGTCAAGGGGACACCAGGGTGCAATTAGACGTTAAGTTGGCTCTGACTTGTCACCACTGCAGGAAATTGAGGCTGCCGTCTCTGCAAGGCAGTTTGCCACCTCCTTAGCGGTGTCAGTTCAGCTGTACTGTAAAATGAGCCTGTTTGAAAAGCAAAACCAACTTTTTTTTTCTTTTTTGGAGGGTTATTTTTAACCTGGATCATTCAGCTATCCCACTTAGAGCCACACAAGGAGCGATGGCAACACAGTGAGGGGGAAGTGAGCTGAGGTGGGTGGGAATGAACAGCCGGAGCAGAAACTCCTCCAGCTGGCTTCACCTCCAAAGGACATGTACTGCACAACTGCAGCCTCAGCCTAATGGGTGACTCATCTGACAAGACCAATAGGAATAATTACCTGGAGGTTCTGTTCCTGTCATTTTAGTCCTAATGAAGCAGTCTATGTCTGACTCTACAATGCAGTTCTCCAAGCTTACTCGAACCTCTTCATACAGCTGTGAAACAGAATCCAAGAATTTAATTTAATTTTTAACATTTCACATTGAATTAACAGTTAATGCTCTTCTAATACTTTTCCCCTTAAGAAACACTTTATACTTGATACATGCCTGACCTGGATGGATCTTTGGCCTGTTCCCCATACAAACATTCCTGTAAACACAATTGTTTATTTGTGTTCTGGATGTTCTTTTGAGAGAGGAGGAAAAAGGCGGTCCAGGGCTTTTCAATGCAGTAAAGAAATTAATAGCTGGAAACAACCATTCAAAGGAAAACTAGTGTATTCTTTATGTCTTCCAATTTTGAGACCATGACTGGATGGCTTTCTGAAAGTTGTGCCTGAGCCCAAATGTACTCAACTGAGCGTTCTGGTAGCTGGAGGCATTCCCCAACAAACTGAGGGGAGGAGACATATAAGTGTCACCAAGTGTGACACAGACCATCTACATCCAGGCATACATCTGGTTTACATCTAGAGGGAAGAAGCTAGATTGAGAATACTCCCCCCTCACTGAACACGCACAACAGCTGGTTTACTGGACACAGCCTGCACGCGCAGAGAAGGGCAAGCTAGTGCTGTATTGATGGAGCACTCTTGCTCCTCCTCTTCCTCCACTGCATGTGAAGCTGCTTGGCAGGTAGGTAGGTGCCCCTACCTCATCATCCTTCACACACTGCATGGAGAGCTGGTTGCAGTGAACCCACAGCGAGTTGCGGAGGATGGTGATGCGGTCGCACTCCTGGAGCTGGAAGACCTAAAGGCAAAGAGGAGATGTGACGTAGCCTCATGGTAGTTATTTATTTGCATGGCAGGCAGCAACAGGGCTGGGGCTTCTCTGGGCCAAGTTCATAAGTCTTGCAATCTGTCCTGAAGGATCCTTTGTAGAGGATGTCTTTTCAGCTACTGGAGAAACTACATCTACTTGTTTGTGCTCAATAATTTGTTTTAATTGATTGCACCAAATTAAAGTTATGCTTTATAGACAAAAATAGAGCAGGGGAGAGGAATCAGGATCTGGATTTGACTGCTACCTCTACTGCCAAGAATTTCAGAGTCAGGGTCCTGTCTGCCCATCGCGCCGAAATCTTGATGTTTTTGTATCAGTAGAGTACTGGCATGAATGGGCTGTATTTATGCTAGAGGTAGAGGCAAAACTGGCCATCTCTGCCTTCTAAAATATCTTTCCAAACTTTTCTCTTTTGAAACTATTTGAGGGTCTCTAGAGTTGCTTCTGTTAATTTCTAAGGTTATTTTCACGGTAAAGAGAAGGCATTTTTCTTTCTTGAGACTTTAATCCCTTCCTTCATCTGTCTGATTTTCTCATGTTGTTGCACAGCTTGGGAAGAATGAAGGAGGAAGAGAGAGGAGAAGTGTGAACTAGTTGGGCGAAGAGGCAGATAAACTCTTTAAAAACTTAAAAAAAAAACAAAAACCAACAAAAAACCCCACCCTGATGTCTAAGTTGTACTATTATAACTAGAACATCAATTTTTGGTTTTCTATGAGGTGTGAAAAGCTCAGATGCTTCCAGCCATCTGTTTCTATCTCCATTTGCTAGTAATTATGTCCAGAACACCACAAATGTATACAATATTCAGCAAAACATTCAGTTGGGTATGCTGCCTGCCATCTAATATCTTACTGTCTAACTAAAAAAAAAAAAACAAAACAGAAAAAAGAGTCCATCATGAGAGTCAGCTGGCATTGGGACCAGTCTATGAGAGAAAAAGCTTTTAAAGAGGACCTGTAGGGTGGAAAATGAATATTTCAATATTGATTCTGAACAAAAAGCCTATGGCTGCAGCCTAGCCCCACAGGAGCTGCTGAAATAGCACAAGAGCTTACTGGGAATTTTCCAGGTAAATGGTGTCCTGTTGGGAAACGCAGCTCACTGAAGAGGGAACTGTAGTGACTCTGGGCTTGTCAAGCCCTTTGCAGAGTACAGCTGGGTGTTGTGTTGGACACATCCCTCGTGCCCCATCAGCTTGTGCGACAGACTGCTAGTGAACCTGGGCGTCTCGTGCCAAGGAATATGGCACAGCCCCTGTAATGAAGGTTGTCCCAGGGCTACCACTTGCTAGCCAAGATTTTCAGGCTATGGATGTTCAGCACTCAGCTAGAGACCTATGCAACCTCAGCACTTCCAGATTCCCCACTATGCAGCCAGAAGTTTGGGGTCTTAAGCTGCTTTTTGTCCTAGTTACTAGTTTTAAATGCCTCAAAATATCTATCAGTTCTATCTACAAGCAAAAGAAGGTGTGAAAGATGCCCTTCCTTCATGAATTGTTGTTTGAATTAAGCAGCAGGCAAGCCACAAGCTCTGAGCTGTCCAGAATTTAGCCATGTGGGAGAAATGAGGTGTGTTATGTTGTGGAACGCTTCACTTGTTTGTTGGCTTTTTAAGAAGGGGGGAAATGTGCATCTTGGGGAAAATTAAGGCTTGGCACAATTTCTATGGCAAGTTTGCTGTGCCAGCCATGGGACTTTCCATTCCTTGCAGATAGGGAATATTGAAGAGGAAGCAGAGAACTGGAAAGCTATGCTCTTTGCAGTTTATTTTATGCGGAAGTAAAGCTTGCAATAAGTGAACATAGCAAAATCATACTTTAGCAGATAGGCAAATATATATGAAGGATTAATATAACCAAATGTGTGGCTGATTTGGATGTCAGTCATTTCCTGTAAATTGTTGTGCAAAATTTACTAGCCAAGTGCAAATCTCCTTGTCCATCCTCAGCATAATGGAAATGGAGACTTTTCCACCACCATCTTTCAACTGAAAGATTACTCCATGGCAGAGGGCAAATATTCTTGCAGGTGAATATAAAGCGCTGTGCAAGATAAAGATGCTGAGTGCCTTGGATAGCTTTGCTCTCAGAATGCTATGGTGCATACTTTTTTAGCTTAGCCAGAAAATTTTATTTTTAATCTCCATTGAACTTGTGAGATTTAAAACAAACAAACAAACACAAAACCCTCTCCTGCATTACTGGATTAGAACAAGAAGCCATTCTGGAAGCCTCTTGCAAAACATAATCTAAAGGGAATCTTTTGTTTGTTCATTTTCAATAGATTAATTGAATTCTTCTTGTTTCAAATTTGAAGTTCATTTTTTAAACTAGAAATGAATTTTCATGTCTGCATTTCTGTTAATTTTCTACTGAAATCACATTTTGTCACAAAACAGTTATTTGAGAAACCACCTTAATCTTGGCTGTGATAGAAGATCATCCCTAAAGATAGTGTGTTCTTATGTTAAGTTGTGGGTGAAAACTGGCAACAAATGCTTGCAAATAGATTGTACCAGTTCATATATTGCTCCACTTCTCACACCTCTGCACTTACTCCCCTTCTTTATATTTACATATATATGCTGAACAAGCAAGAAGAGTGTAAGCAAGTGAGGCAGCTAGCAGCTATGTTCTAAATCAACTCTAGTTTTTGCAGTATTTCTGCAAATACATCTACTGAGACTCCACATAAAGCAAACAGCAAAACCCTTGGGACGATATCTTAGGTTGTAGACTGATATCTGCAAGTAGGATAAAATAAAGAACGCACAAATATATTGCTGCAAAAGTCAACGTTTACCTCACAGGTTTTGATGTGTTCTTGTTCCCACTCTGTCCTGACCTTATCCAGCTGCTCAATGTTCTGTTTGTACACGTCCTCTGTAAACACAGATACGCATAATAGAAACCCAAAAGTTAGGAAAAAAAAAATGGTACAGTCTCTCTCTTTTTCCTTCTATTAGGACTTTACTGTGGCTCTTATGCTTTAGGCTTGTGGTTTGCTAGAGTATCACAAGAATGTGTGAGCTTGAGAATGGTGTGCCACAAGGATATTTGTTGTTTTTCTTTGCAAATTTATACTGGAGTAAGGATTCTCTTTGTGTGGTTTGCAGATCATCTGTAAACATTACAGTGGGGATAATGTAAATCAGAGATTAAGAGCCTGGACCATGCTTGAGCACTGAGCATCCATAAGCTCTTTCCATGCTGAGCAAGCCAGGTAAGCCATGTGACATAGTGTGAACTTTTCCATGAGTGGTGAGGGACAAGTCTGAACTCATGAACTGGCTCAGTTGGTCTGCTGGCCTGTCCTTCTGGACATATACTGTGTTTTGGCTGGAGAATGCTACCATGCTCATGTACAGGGAACCTGAGGACTGTGTATCTGGTTTGGGCTGGCTGGGGACAATTTAAGTGTCATTCTTTTGGGCTTTCAAACTTGCTTCAAGAAGAGCTTTTCTTTCCTGGGAGAAGTCCCTAAAGGAGGTCTTCTATAAATTCATTAATGAAAGCAGGAGACTTGCATTTCCACAAAGGAAAGTGAATGTAGATGACTATCAGGTTGCCATTCTTTAGAAGGTTTTTCATTAATCTTTGGGTAGGTGACTTCATGAAACCTGACTTCGAACAGAGCCAGCCTGGATGTTTTGGATGGTGCTCTATCAAAATCAGTGTGCTGGTAAGTCTTTGCTGAGAAAAATCTTAGTTCAGTTGCAAATAGAGCATCACCTGCTTCATTTGCTGCATCTCTGCATTGCTTGGCTTTGTTCTGACTCTGAAACAGGAAAAGAAACACCCCAAATTAATTTCTGGGCATATTTTTTGCTTCTGCCCCAGTTTTTTTTTTGCTACCTGTTCCCTTTTCCCCTTCTATGGGAAAGGCGTAAACTTGCAAACACTTCTTGGCTGTCCCACCTTTATGCATGGTTCTGTTGAATGTGTGCTATGGAAAAGAAGGGGCCACAATTTCACAGATGCAGCCATAGGTCCACTGACTTCAAGGGAAACTTGACAATTTTACATCTTTCCATTCAGACATCCCTGCCATAGGAGTTCAGTGCTAGCGTGATCAAGCCTGAAGCTTGTGTCTGCTGGCTGAGTTGTTTCGTTTTGTTTTTTTTTTTCTCAAGTGTTTGATGTGCTTTTCTAATATATATTTATAAGCAGAAATAAATGGCAGTTAAAATTCTTTATCTTCCAAGCTCCTCATGTAATACATAGATGAAAAGAGCACAGCCTTTCAAATACTTTGCAAATGCCAGATTATTTCCCATAACAACTGAGAAGTCTAAAAGCAAAATTCACTCTAAGTAGAACATTTCTTTTTTAAAAACCTGCAGCTTTTAACAAATGAAAATACAGCTATTATTGACAGCTCTGTCCTCCCAGGTCTTTCTGCACAGATGGTTATGACAGTACATTAATGCACGGCTCTAGACATCAGTATAACACATTCTCTTCCCTTCTGCCCTTCAAGACAAGGCTCAGGTAGGAGTTCTTATGACCATATTCCTCATCACAGCTGGTTGGAAAATGTGTAGTAAGCTGGGAACATAAGCTTCATTCTTATTTGCTTCCTGGCCCAAACTGTTTGCGAGTGCTGCGCAGAATTAAACAGCTGACATGTTTCTTGTGAGATGCCTCTCTGCATTTCAAATGTGCTGGCGTGTGTGTGGAAGTAATGGCAATGAAGCGCCCTGGGATCCTTCTGCATGAAAGGAGCTGGGTCAGATTTTGATGCCATTGCTGAATCTTCTGGCGTAATTTCAGTAGGGCCAGGATTTCAGATTTCATCCCCTCTTTGCAGCTAAGCTGGAGGGTTTTGTTCATCAAAGATTAGCAAATGCTAGAAATAAAATGTAAAGTTCTGATGCTGTTTTTAGAGTCCCCATCCCCCCGCTCCTTGAGATGATTTTTGATCCTTTTTGCTTACACTGCACTGATTTTTATCGAGCCAAAGGGAGTTCATTTATTTTGTTTTCTCCATCTGTTCCTCTGTAAAATGTTCCCATTAAAAGTTAGTGAATTGTCAGCTACAAGTATCGAGACGATGCAATGAAGGACTGCAGTGCCTTAATTTCCAATGATTTATTTTTGAGTTTGTAAATTTAGTTGAAATTAAACTAACCATAAGGAGAAAAATGTTGAGGAAAACTATGCATTTTAATATAAGATACTATGCCTACTAAATGTAAGCAACCAAAAGGCAAAACTAACTGCATGACATACTTCTGACTTGTTTCTTTTTTTATTAATCTTTTCGGAGAAAAATCCCATTCAGTTTACCTTCAGAATTCATAGAGCAATTAGATCATAGCCTGGCATAAGTTAATTAGATAACTTGGACCTTTCCCAGCCTTTCTAAAAACCCTTGGCCTATCACAGAACAAGATCAGGGTTACCAAAGAAGTTTGTGAAGGAAGACCTCTTTGGAAAGGTGCTTTGATTTAGTTCTGATTCTAAGGGGTTAATTAGAAGGGAAAGCAGCCCCTGGCATCCTGTAGAATGGGTTGTTCAATCATATTCTCTTGTACCTTGAAAAGGAAAAAAAACAGTTTTCTCTCTAAATAGCACTGTCAGCTAAGGTACCTTTTCTGTTTGCTTTTGGTTGCCTGAAGCACTTGTCCGTTCAAAGGACTGCTCCGCCTCATCTGCCTCCTTGCACTTCTGTTCGTAAGTCTTCTTTGACTGCATTGAAATGAAATCAAATGTGAGGGTTTGGGTTAGGGAATGAGGCTTTGTTGTCTCCAGCTGGATGTCCTAGGTATTTTCTGTTTTGCAGTCTGTGGGAGAAAGTCAGTGCCCAGGTTTGGGCAACAGAAAAAATTCCCAATGACACTGTAAGGAGATAGAAAAATAGAACTGAAAAATTGGGGTAGCAGCTGGCAGCATAAATCGGGTCCTCTTCTTGCAGCCCTGAAATTTTTTGCTTTGTACACTTGCAGCCAGCTCCCCTCAAGGCTGGTCACAAATACAGAGGCAGCGCTAGCACCATCAGGCGTCTGTCCGAGCTACAGTGTAGAGACGAAATTAGGAGACCACATATGCAGGGTGCCAGTGGGGATGGGTTGTGATTTCCACAGTGTGACTTGAAGCATCAGGTGGCTGAAGGCAGTGCGTTGCCTTGCCCATTGCTCCAAGCTGTGAGACAGAGCCAGCACCCCAAAGGTAACGGTCTCAGGGCAGTCATCAGAAGCAAAAGAAATCCTTATTTGCACCGAAAGGCCTCCCCGTCTTAGAGATTCACTTACAACAACCACATTTAAATAAAAATTGCTAATACAGTTCCAGCTGTAGCACTGATGGGTCTGCAACTGCTTTTCTTTAGAGGCAGGGGCCTATTGGAAACCAAAACCAGCTGCCTGCAGTTCCTGTACCTGCAAGCTTTCCAGTTGGAGAGGTTTCCTCCTGTTTACAAGATTCCCTCACCATTTTTAAAATTGTATTTACACAGACTGAAAAATTACATTTGCTCCTGTAAGTATCCTTGCCTAGAAAGAATGAAATCCAGTTTGACCTGGGGCATTGTTCATTCCACATTAACTTTCCGAGTGTTTGTTTTGGAGACTCTTCAGTGGGAGCGTCAGGGAAGATTAGCTTTAGTTTCCTCCTGGTAGTAGGAACCACATCCTCTCTCTCTCGCACACACACTCTTGCATGCTCACGCATTCTTGGCCTTTCTTTAAATATAGGTACATGTGATACAGATTTCACCCTGTCTCAAACTGGACCCAGTTTGCGTCAAGAAACATGCACAAAACCTCCTTGCTTACCTCCATTGTTTTCTTATAATGGGACAACTTGCTCTTTTGCATGCGCTCCATTGCAGACTCGTACTGTAAGAAACACAAAGAAGTAAGCATTTCTTGCTTTGGACTTCTTCATCCCCTTGTTAGTGGCAGGATTAGGAAAGCCACAGTCAGGGCCTTTCTATAAACCACATGCCTGTGGGAAAAATTACTTCATTCTGCTTTTATAAATGACAGGTTTCAAAATGATACAGAGAACATCAAAGAGCCAGGTAAGAAAATAATCCAAGATAATTCTGCTTCAATGGTTTCCATTAATAGCAGAGAGGATATAGATCTTCATTTTCTGCCTCTCCACCTTTTTTTTTTTTTCTTTTTCTTAAGGAGATTAAATAGCGTAACACCCAGTCGCAGAGCTGGTTCAAGAGCCTGATCCCACATCTTTGCAGACCAAACCATACTGTCTCACCCATGTGAGCAAGGGTAATTGTCCACTTTAAATATAAACAATTCCTGTGTAATTTATATTCCATTGCTTCTGGCAAATTTATGCTCGATGCGATTTGATTTCCATATCATCATCTGGTCAGCATTGGAAGGACAGTGCTGAATTCTCTTTTATGGTTTTAGTTGTGATATGCCCAGCTTTATGTGACAAGGAGATATGCTCCTACTTGGCAGGGTATGGGTTTCTTCAGTGGGACTTTTGGTCCTTTAATCTTTACATTCTGCTCAAGCAAAACTCTCTCCAGGGCTACCCAGAGGCTGCTTCGCATTGGGCTAAATAGCACAGGCCTGAGAGCAGCTACAGCAAAACACAAATCACAGCATTTTGGGAGGTTACCAAAAATGCTGACAGTCTAGCATGCCTAATGCTGACTTCCTCGCAGCCACATGCTGGGTGGATAAAAAAGCTTGCCTAAGACTTCAAAGCAGTTTTACCCTTTTTTTTCCAGCCCCCTCTGTTTCCAGTTGAGTTATAGGCTTATTGTTTTCAACAGGAGAGAGAGCCTCTCTCTTTGCAAATCCTAGTGGCAAGGGGTCGGGGGGGGAGAGGGGGATACAAATGCTGATGGACTAGATGCCCTCCATTTGTCTTTAGATGCCTTATTTGCTTCATCAGATCATTGTGGACCTCAGATCTCAGTAGCAGCGCTGGATTTACCCACTCTGACATTCAGAGTTCTCTGCTATTCCAAGTTCTTGTGTGTCAGGGTTGTAGACACAAGATTTCTGTGGCATTGGATACTGGTCATATGCATTTTCATTTGTTTAAAATTAGCAAAGAACTGGATATTTTATTTTACTCCTCCATCAATCAGTGCTTTCAGTGTTAAGTGACTGTCCCAACTTTGTCTTCAACCCCGTGGAACCAGAGAAGGTGTAAGAGTGACCACTGTTGTCTCTATTAAGAGCTACTTTTTTAAGGGACTTAGAGCTTGATAAGATCATAGGGGATGAAATGGCCTTAAATATACTCAAATTTTTATTATACAAGATCAACTAGATGCTATTTCTCCCCTGTATTTGTGATTCAGCATATATTGGTGTTGCATTCAGCATGATGTTCATTTGCTTTTATGTTTTTAAATGTTTGTGTTACCCCTTTATTTTAGTTCATGTTGGAGATCATGCAGGATCATACCAAAGAAACCCAATTAGCAGGGGTATAGAAAAAGAGAAAAGGAAGGGTTACGTTCCTACAGGAATAATAATAATAATCTGCAGTTACACTGGAGAGAGTTAAAGTTGACTAAAGCCTCTACTTCCTGAGTTCAGAGCACTACTTTATTTCCAGCTGGGATCAGAAAAAGATTTTCCTCCACAGTCCAGTGTATGGAGTGAGCAGGACACACTGGGCATGTGGTATCATCTTTTGCAATATTTACAGTCTATGGCTGGAGACAGGGCATCAGCATGGACCACTGACCCAATCTGTTTCAACTTTTCTCTGGTTCCTCACCTTTTTTCTTTGCTCCTTCTGTCTTTCTCGGAACTCCTCTATTCCTTTCAGTTCATCCTTCAGCATTACTGCCAGCTGGATATGAGAGTTCCCAACACTTTCGATTTCTAAAGCAAATCAGAATTCGCATACAGTCAGTGGGAAAGGTCTTTAAATAGGGAGTCACATTTTTCAGGAGATGTTTCTGGGATGTGGCTGCTGTATGACTTGTCATGAACAGGGCAGCATTAAGAAAGGCCTCCCTATGTTTCTGCACTCACTGACATTGCCAAGGGTTCCCACAACCTGAGTAGGGCTTATTGCAGATCTTCTCAGTGCCTGCAAGTTGCATGGGCAAGGCTCCTTGCTGCAGAATTAGAGCACCCACTCAGAGCAGCCTTGGTAAGTGTAGAGTCAGCTGCGTTTCTTCGTAGCCCCATTTACACCAGCTGCCCCTCTTTCTGGGGCTAGAGGTCAGACATTGTGGGGCAGAGGGAGGGAAGGAGCTCTGAGCTCCATCATCACCCCCTGTGTCAGCTTTCCCTCTACTACACTGCTGGCTTGTCACTGCTTTTGGGAGCTGCTTGCCAGTTATGTCCAGCCTTGCACAAATGTCATTACATGAGGTTGCAAGCTGAGAATTTCCAAGGGTCAGCAAAGATGGATTGAATTTCAGAGCACCTGGCCAATGCTGTTTGAAGTGGCTGGTAAATTCTCTGCATTTGTCAGCCTTTGGTGCCTCTGAAATGGAACACCACATTTTCCAGAAATGTTGAGCTCCCCCACCCAGACTTTAAAAATACCTTAATTCACCAGCTGCTTTTCAAAAGGACGTTTTTATCTAAACAGCAGGCGCCCATAGCCAGGTACGCTGTCCTATTGGCTATGATGGTGTTGCATTTGCTGCATGTGAGAGGTTTTCGTTCAGCCTTGGGCACATTTAGAAAGCATGCTGTTTTGATGTCAGTGGTTTGCAGGAAAGGGAACAGAGGAGGTGAAGAGGATGAAAGACCCGAGAGGGGATGAACACATTGTGTGTCTGTCTTAGCCCAGGACAGAAAGGAAGATGTAAATACTTACGTTGCTTAAGCCTCTCAAACGCTGCCTTCAGTGTGCTGTGAGGCAAAAACAAGTGCACTTTATTAGTATAGGCTTCTAAGGGTGGGTGTTGAATCTAGAGGAAAAACTTTCCCTCAGAATCTGAGATCCACATAGAAATAAAACTCTTAATAGTCTTGTAATAAAAGTTGACCATGCTAACAAGCACAATAGCATCAATCTGTTACCATCGGGAAATGCAATAAAATGCTCCATGAAGCAAAGAATTGCACTACTTATGTGCATCCTCTTTTTTTAATCCCACTGTATTGGTGACTGTGGATGTTAACAGGCATTTCTCTATTCTTGCACCTTGCCAATGGATAGAAGCCAACTGAGTGAAATAAAGACGGTCAAGGGGAACTGGGTTTTGGAGCACTAGTCTGAAGGGTAGAGCAAAACCAGCTCCACCCTCTGTGTTGAATGCAGCAGCAAATTTCTCCTCCTCTGTCACCCTTCAAGCTAGAGCAGTTCTGCTATGTAGCATCCTCCATACTATGCTTTCCGAGCACCCTCGTGTGGTACAGCTTGTTCTCCTTTAAAAGACTCACAAATGGTGCAGAGAACCTACAGAGGCTTTGAAACCCTGATGCTCCCAGAGGATTTTGACATCCTAGAAGCACAGCAGGAATAAACTGTGCTGTGAAATCAGGCCTCAGTGCTGGGCTATGAAATACAGCATGGAGAGGAGCAAAAAGAGATGTTATGCTGCTCATCTGGATAGACCCATACAACTAAGTGGTACTAAAATGTAGAGTTGCAGAAGGACATGAAACGGTTACGATAGATTGCCTGACATCCTTTTTTTTTTTGACAAGCCAGACACCATTTTAAGAAAGCAGCAAAGATACCAGCTGAGAAGTGAAGGGAGAGGAAAGAGTCTGTAAGAGGCATTTTCGACTTAATAATTTGCTCTAGCTCCCCATTTGCAGGCTGGCAGGGCATTTGTATATGCAGAAGCCAGGGCTGTGGTGTGATTTAGAGGTTTTTCAGATTTAGAAATCATCTCTTCAAGACCCAGGGTGTGTTGTTCCCTGAAGGAAATAGTTCTGGGATCTCCATGGAGCCCTTGTCTACTTCAGGCAGGAGCTCAGGGGAAAAGCCTGTAAATGAAGACCCTAAAATAGAATCATAGAATCATAGAATGTTTTGGGTTGGAGGGGACCACTAGAGGTCATCGAGTCCAACCCCCCTGCAGTCAGCAGGGACACCGCCAACTAGATCAGGTTGCTCAGAGCCCCATCCAACCTGGCCTTGAATGTTTCCAGGGATGGGGCCTCCACTACCTCTCTGGGCAACCTGTTCCAGTGGTTTACCACCCTCATTGTAAAGAATTTTTTCCTTATATCTAGCCTAAACCTACCCCGATTTAGTTTAAAACCATTACCCCTTGTCCTAACGCAGCTGGCCCTACTAAAAAGGTTTTCCCCCTCTTTCCTATAGGCCCCCTTTAGGTACTGAAAGGCCGCAATCAGGTCTCCCCGCAGCCTTCTTTTCTCTAGACTGAACAAGCCCAACTCTCTCAGCCTGTCCTCATAGGAGAGGTGCTCCAGCCCTCGGATCATTTTAGTAGCCCTCTTCTGGACCCGCTCCAACACTTCCATGTCCTCCCTGGCTGAAGCCTGGCTACTAGAAGAGCCCAGAAGATGATGCTTATCGCCTCCCAGCCATGTGCGACTGCAGATGGGTGGGGAAATCCTCTACCTCTTGGGCCATTTCAGGAGTCATAGGAGACACAGGAAGGATCCTAATTGTCCTGTGTTAATTTAGACTGGACATCTGTTTCCTAATCAAAGCTTGCTCTCCCAGTAGCAAGGCTGCCTTGCCAGGCATAAAAAAATGCACAGGCGAGGGGAAAGGCTGGGCCTGTCCTCAGTGATAACTGCCTTGCAATCCATTTCCAAATCTAAACTTGTAGAAATATAAGGAAAAGACTTTCAGCCATAAAAGATGAGTATTGAGCTAACTGTTTGATCTTTCAGCTTTCAACTAGAACTGTTGTGGTGAATTTCCTGAGATAAGTCAGGGAAAACATGCTAGATGAATATTTGTCAGTATTGTCCTGATAACACTTAAATATGTTGGAGGTTCATTTTGCAAAAAGCGAGTCTGGTGTGAAATTTTGATGGAAAATAAATTTTCACAACACAAAGGAAATAAGCAGTGTTCTTTCCAGCTGAGTTAATTAAAAGCTTGAAATTAAAAGACAAGTTGACTATCAGCAGCAGAGAGAGCTTTTTCTCACCTAAAAGCTCTAATGGATTATTTTGAAAACCTAAATATATACGAGGAATAAAATTTGTTTTTTTAGTATGGATTTTCCAATAGGAGGTGGGGAATGTGCTAACAATTTCATGCCTGAAATAGGTAAATACTGGAATTAAAAAAAATAGAGGACACTTGCAAACTGTACATACTGTTTGCATACTGTGTGTTGACCTATTGTTCCCAGAGATTTTTTTCTTTTGCTGTTGGTGATTCAGGTTATGCAAAGACTGGCAAAATTGCTGTAGTGGATACTGGAAAATAGTGCTTTCTCAATACATATCAAGGGCAAAAGCAATTTGCTGCTTTTTTTGGTTTCCAGGCATCTGAGCTACCAGAGTAGTTCATGATCATAAGCCATACATGAAGCTTTTCTCCTTTTTGCTGGCTCTCTGTAAGGACAAGTTTGTCTTCTGGACAAACTGCCTGGAGAGAGACCAGTTTGCCCCCTGCATGGTCTCTAATGGCCTTTTCAAAAAGCTCTGGCCTTTTGTTCCTTGCATGAAAGATTTGTCCAGCCAGTTCCCTAGCTGCTGACTGGGGCAAGGCCGCAGTCCATAAGTAGATTGAAATAGACTTCAGCCATTTCCTTCCTTATTTTTATAATAATTTTCTAAAATCAGTGAATTGGATCCCTCATCCTTACGGGCATCAAGGGAGTAGCAAATCTGTCATTGTGCCAGGTTAGGTGTGGGAGAGAATAAATAAATCAAATTTTGACCCATGGGTCTATCAGGTATTCCTTTATGTCATCTGGGCTGCAGGGATGTGCTGGCTCCTCGTTGCTGCTAAATACTCTGATTATATTGGTGAAATATATAATTTCAGCGCTTTGGAGGGTTTAATGGAAGCAATCTGAGTAGCAGACATACAAGTGGGTTTTAATTTTGGCTGTGCTGGTTTGTACGTACAGTACCTATTACCTATTTCTTCTGGGTGGGTTTGACTTTCTAATAGGATTGATAAGGGCTTTATTCTGAGGCATCCAAAGTGAGGATGTCTCGCTCTCATGGACACTTTGAAAGAATGTTTTATCCTCTCAGTCTATTATGCTGCTTAGTGTTGTGGTAGTAATTGATTTGTTTGTTTGTTCTGTGGCCAAATTGGAAAACCTGGGGTGGAAAACAATGCAAGCAAAACTGCAAATTTGCAATTCCCCTTTTTGCTTTTTTTTTTTTTTTTTTTAATTGCTCACTTCTGACATTTCCATGTAAATTCTGGAAGACTGATAAACCACTCTGGCTAAAGACAGAGCACCAGCCTTCCCTTTGGGCATCCCTACGTGGAGCCTCCTGCAGATGTCTCACTGAAAATAGGGTTGGACACAAATTTACTGTGCATGTTTGTTAAATGACTCCCCCATGGACATTTAAAGATCGGATTTGTCAAAATGAATTTCTGGTGGAAACAGGATTGACTTTGAATCCGGAATACCGGGGGACCAGATCGAGCCTGTGCAACAGCCACTCTGCAGCAACTTCTAGTGATTTTTGCCATCTAGTGGCTAAAATAGTCTTACCGTTTTCTGGGATACCGACCCTGTCTGCTCCTTCACTTGCTGGAGTCTTCTGCACTCGAATGCAGCAGAACTGAGCTGCTCTAGTAAAATGTGCACGTTTCAGTGTTCAAGTGGAGGGAGAGAAGGAGAATAAGCAGAGCTTTTAGAGGAACAGGGGAACCAAGGGGAGAAGCTCATTACAATAAAGCTCACCCATCACTTAGCATTCTTGCTCTATAGATTGCAAAATACTTTCATAAGTGAACTTATCCAAATTTACCCAGCACACCAAAGCTGGAAAGGCAACCCTGCCTCTCTAGGGCACTGACCACTCATCCCTATGGCTCTCCTCTAATAGGATAAACATTTACAGAATACATCGTTTGAGAGCTTGCTTTGATTTTTCTCCCAGGCAGAAAATGCATCCTGTATTTGAGCATAGGTGCCTTGTTTGGCATTCACCCACCATAACAGTTCAGGTATAAGGAGTGGCAGGGAAGTATTACATCTGATCAAAAAATCCATTTTACTCACTGATTGTGCAAAATTATCTTATAGTTGTTTCAGGAAGAGGGCTCGACTGGAACAGCATAGGATGACAGCACTTCGAAGTTAACTTGTCCTAGCTGCTCTCTGTGTTTGCTTTCTCTCTTTCCATTTTTGGACCTTGTTTTTGCTAGAGACTGGGCTGTTGCTGGAGAACAGGCTGTACTGAGCAGTCCTACATGACAGGAGGACCACCGGGAACTGTACTGTAGACAGGGCTCTGGTACCTTCTGCTTCACAATCATCAAAGGCTGAATTTTGTGGCACCAGAGTCATAATTAGCAGAGTTCTATCAGTGCCAGTGCTTAGGTCACAGGTATACTCACTACATACACTACTGCACCACACTTCTTTTGCAACTGTAGGCTTGATGGTTTGGGCTTTTTTTTTTTCAGTACTTCGCCTTTTCACTCAATTAGAGACTGGTTTAACTGAGTAATTCAAAAAGTTCCTTTACATCTTGTACACAGGAAGGTAAAACAGGCTCTTCTAACCGGAAAACCACAGCTCTCTTTAAATTTTCTCTCTTTTCTACCTTTGCTTGGTGAATAGAAGCATGAAATAACCTGACCTTCCTTTCTGGTAGGTTTCCATTATAACATCAATATGATCTACAATGATTTTCTATTCTTATTGTAATTTTCAAAAAATATTCTTCCTTAAATTGAGAGAATTCTCTGCCAGATGAACTCTACAGACCACTTTCCA